GAATGCTAATATTTTGTAATAGGTACTTTTTTTATATAATCGAAATAGTAAACAACTGATCCATCTGATGATACGTGTTTATTTTTATGAATGACAATGGCCTATGTATAATTCTGATGCATAAGCTACATTACTGTTAAGTTTCATCAAAATCTGTTCAGTTTTTGCATGAAAGAGTAACAAACACCCATACTCACAAACTTTTGCGTTTATAATGTTATTAAGATATCTGAACACACTTGCAGTGTTTAGCGGCTTTTTTTTATGATAATGGAATGCACCCGCCTGCGTTAACGGTTTACGCTGGCGGGGCACCAGTAGAGGATGATAAGATGAGCATGAGGTCAGGTCAGTTAACCCATCGTGACAAACTCACCAGGTATTTGTCACGATGGTTTCCAAGGGAACTGCGTGAAGGTCAACCTGACATGGTACATCGCTCGCAATGGAGTCATCAATCCACATTACTAACAATCTCCTTTCCCCCCAGAAAAATATATAAATTTGTCAAATAGTTGACTTATCAATCCCCATCACTAAAAAATAATATAGTACCTTTTAAAAATACCATATTATATAGGTTTTTTTTTTTTTTTTTGTATATGATAATGGAATGGTGCACCTGCCTGCGCTAACGGTTTACGCTGGCGGGGCACCAGTGAAGGATGATAAGATGAACATGAGGTCAGGTCAGTTAGCCAATCGTGACAAATTCACCAGGAATTTATCGCGATTGTTTCCAGGGGGAACCGCGTGGAGGTCAACCTGACATTGTACATTGCTAGCAATAGGGTTATCAATCCACATCACTAACAATTCCCTTTCCCTCCTACCATATTAGGTTGACCTAGAGGAATCGAACTGTATAGATACGGTTTGACCTGAAAACCATCGTGATAAATTTCAGGTGAATTTATCACGATGGCCTAACTGACCTGACCTCATACTCTTCTTTAATAAGAACCACTAAGGGCACCAGTGGAGGATAATTCCTCCACTGGTGCCCCACCAGCGTAAACCATTAGCGTGGGGGTGTGCACAATTCCGTTATTTACAAGAAAAAATCTTATAATTATTATAAACGCGAAAGTTTGGGAGTTTGTATGGATGTTTATATTTACGCAAGAACTGCTGAATGGACTTTGATGAAACTTTACAGTAATATAGCTTATATATCAGGATAACATATAGGCTATATAATATCATGCGAGTGAAAGCGCAGGAACAGCTATTAAATATATATTGATTACTCTTAAATAGATGACTTGCATGACGCAATGACATTATAATATGCAAAAAAAAAGACTATATGTCTACATGTATATGTCTAGAATGAAGTGAGCATTGTCACATTGGCCAATAATGTAAAGCATAAAATTTGTTAAAATGATTATAGAGTAAAAGGCCTAATTTTAATTTTTGGTTAGGTACTACTTGTTTAGTAGAAAACGAGATCTGTTAGATGATGACAAATATGTATTAACAATACAATGTAATTATAAAAGTTTGTATTTTTTTTGTACTCAGGTGTGATATACCTTGCGAAATTGTTGAGTTAAATTAATCCTTTGTGCTGTTTTTTTTGTCTTTTTGTATGTAAATGTTTAAATAATAAAAATTGTCCTTGTAATGTTAAATTTTCAGAGGGAGGGGACACCCTCACCGTAGACATCCTACTTTTCAGGGGAGGTGTGATATAGTGATGCAAATCAGCACGTTCGATAGTAGATTGTGCCAGTGTACGTTTTATCTAACGACACGTAGGTCACGCAGTTGCTAATATATATAGTTTATGTAATTAGTGTAAGCTAGAGTAATTCAAGATGTAACAGTTAATATACAAGTTACACCCTACTGTGTGTGTTTACTCTCACCACCGCTCATGTCATCACAATGACATGTATATTGTATATGTTTGAGGTTTACTTAAAGGCTAAAGTTCATACAGTCCATAAACACTTTGTATATCAATGTACATATATGTAGATATCATAAAGGTGCACTTCCATTAATAGATAATAAATTGTAATTTACTAACATAGTTTATAAGTTATCTACTAACATATTATGGATAAATATCCGAAATAAATGAAATAATCATAATAATTAATAGGAACTTGGAGACGACCGCATTGTCCTTCGCCTAATGTTAGAAGTAATTTTGCACGACAACAGTATACGATTTTTGCTTCTAAGTTATATAATATATTTAATTTTAATTGTAGTATGCTTAATAACTATCAAATAAATATATATATCAAATTCGATTCGAAAAAAATTTAATATGGCTAGAGAAATTAAATTACAGTGAGACTGAAGCATTAATATGCAGAGTAAAGTGACACTAAATCAATACACGTTTATGTAAGGGTATATATATAATATAATATGATATATATGTATATGTGTATATATGCAATATACTACACACACGTACACTCACATAGACACACACACACTGACTAAATAGTACAAAATATTAATATGGATTAAATTAATATAAAACTGTTATTCCTTGTTTTAGTAATGTGGACTAATAACCCTATTACTAGCAATGTACCAATGTTTAAATAAATAAATAAAAAATATTGCCAAATTGATCTCCACGCGGTTCTCACTGGACTTTAAGTCGTAAGATGGACTTCCCATGCCCTCCATTGAAGGGCAGGTCATTATTTTACAAATTATATGGATTAGGAATAATATAGTGATTTCAATTTCTGTCATATTTATAGCTTTTAAATGTAGATATGATGCAATATGTCTGATAGTGTAATATCCCTTTTATTGCATTATCAAATTTATGAATGATATTATCAAATATAACCATTTCTTTATCAGTATATGGTTTCAAAGTCAGATTAACATGTTTATTTACAAGCCGTCAGCGTAACTTCGTGCATCATATTTTACCCGGTTTTACAACATTTTTGTTAATGCAGCTCAACTCCTATTAGTCGTAGCGTGATGTTATATGGCCTGTAGTTTTTTCGAAAAATGGGCTAACTAACACTAAAAGAATTTTCAAAATCGGATGAGTAGTTCCGGAGCTTACCCCAAACATTCAAACTGACAAACTTTACCTCTTTATAATATTAGGATTTGGGGGATGGATTGTTAGTTGTGTAAATTAATTAAACCATTGATAGCAATGTACCATAAGAATAAGAATATCACCACATCAGGTTAACCTCCACGCGGTCCCCCCTGGAAGCCATCGTGATAAGTACCTGGTGAATTTGTCCTAACGGATCTGAACTCGTGTCATTTTAATATCCTTTAGCTCCACGAGAGTAAACCGTTAGCGCAGGTGGAAACACCATTCCGTTATCAGTCATTAAAAAAATATTAGATAGATATGTATGTACTATGTACATATTTACATATTTGCAGGTTCGATTCCTATCACAGTACAATTTATATTTATATGTCAGATTGTTTGTCTCCGTTTTTGCTGCAGATAAACTGCTGAGCAAGTTTGCAGATTGATGATAATTCTTGGTTTTGTATTGATTTATTTTTGTAATTTATGCAATGATTGAGTTTTTTTTGTTTGTTTAGTGTGTGCTTTAGTTTTTTTAACATCTACTGAATAAATATCATTTCATTTCATTTCAATTTGTGTAAAAATCTACTTACTAATATTATAAACGCGGAAGATTGTGAATTTGGATGAAATGGTGGATGCTTGTTACTCATTCACGCAAAAACTACTGAATGGATTTTAATTTAATTTTACGATAATATAGCTTATATATAAGAATAACATATAGGCTATAAATTTGAGGCATCATATAGTATAAAATAAAGTAACTGTCGCTGTCTGTCCGTCCCTATGTATGCTTAATTCTTTTAAACTACGTAACGGATTTTGAAGCAGTTTTCTTAAATAGAGAAAGTGATTCTAAAGGATTGTTTATATATATAATACATGTAAAGGACAAAGCCGGGGCGAATGGAGTCTATATATATATATATATATATATATATATATATATATATATAACTCAAAGATGACTGATATAGTGATCTATCAACGCACAGCCTAGACCACTGGACGTATCGGGCTGAAATATGGCATGCAGGTAGATGTTATGACGTAGGCATCCGCTAAGAAAGGATTTTGATTAATTCTACCCCCAAGGGGACAAAATAGGGGATGAAAGTTTGTATGGAACTTTGTCAATTTTAAACCGATCGGGCTTTGCATGCATAAAGCTATTATGACGTAGGCATCCTCTAAGAAAGGATTTTGATAAATTCCACCCTAAGTTATAAATTAATGCGACAAAAACATCGAGCAAAAGCGTTATAATATAAAATTAACGCATCGTTTCTCAAATTAGTAGAGTTAAACTTTTATATTTTATTGTTACAATATTTAAATTGCTATTATTACAAAATGTGCTTCAGTGATATGAATCATGATTTTATCTGTCTGTGTATCATCCTGCCCTTGCAGTTATCCCGTTATCTGTTTCACCATCATACATGGGGTTTATCTACATAAATCTCGACTCGGCTTTATCTAAGTATCATGGACTATCTATCTACATCTATGCATACAACTAAAATTTGAGTGTCTGTTTGTAATATTGAAATAACCGTTTTTTACTACATGCATATGAATATGAATACGGTACATATACCAAAATAACATTTTTTGAATTAATTTTTGCACATCTGTCTGTTTCGTATCTCTGAAATGACTGGACCGATTTTAACGGGATTTTTTCGCAGGTAGCTAATGTAATAAGGAGTCACTTCGGTTTAACCTAAAAATAATACTTTTATTTTCAAAAATCTTTTAATATAGAAAAATAAAGTTAAATTCCACGCGGACGAAATCGCGGGGATAGCTAGTATATTATAAAAAAAATATACTTACAGGAAATAAATCATGACTTGAAAAAAAAAACTATTGCGTAAAAGATAACCTTGTGTGACATACGATTAAAATAAAAAAAAGCAAGATAATTCATAACCATTTGGTTACTTACCGCTATCACGTTACGATCAGCAAAACAAAACAGCTGACCGTCAAAACCATAACAAACATATATATGTAGCAGTATATATGTATTTTATTATATTTAAATTACTAAATAAATTGGCACATCACATATTTATCACATTTATGAGTAGTTTCGTTACATATATTTACATTATATTACATATAACGCTTACATATAATTTATATTATATATGAAGTTTAAACTGTGCGTCTGCGCAGTGGTTCGGCACACACTAACGTGGCAAGAAGCGAAGCAAAAACTTGACTGCCGGCTTTGAATGTGGGACAGCTGTGAATTGATTTTACATACGGTGTTCCGTATGATTTTTTTTTTTTATGGATGATAATGGAATGGTGCTTTGCTAGAAATTTCCACCTGTACGTTCCATTTCAAGTTCAAACATCTACTTCTTTTTTTTTAATAATTTACAAAACGCGAACCTTTTAATGTCTGTATTTAGTTGTTAAAATGAGTATGTGGATTCTATTTTTGTATATAAATAGCTTATTAGGACATCCATATAGTGGATATTCGATTATCTACATTAGGTATTTTTGTATGTAAACTGATTACAAAGTAAATAAGGGAAATAGGATATTTTTTAATTAAATTATTGTAATTTCTGCGACCTAGAGTAACCTAGGTAGGTAGTTTTTTTTGTATATGATAATGGAATGGTGCACCCGCCTGCGCTAACGGTTTACGCTGGCGGGGCTCCAGTGGAGGATGATAAGATGAGCATGAGGTCAGGTCAGTTAGCCCATCGTGACGAATTCACCAAGAATGTATCACGATGGTTTCTAGAAGGTACCGCGTGGAAGTCAACCTGACATAATACATTGCTAGTAATCAGATCATCAGTCCACATTACTGACAATCCACTTTCCCCCAGTTCCGTACGATTTCTAATAGTAAAATCATCGAAATTGTAACGGCTTCAGTGGTCTAGTGGTTGAGCACACTGCTCTACTTCCGATAGTCGGGTTCGAATCCACGCACGGTACAAATATTAAAATTTTAAATTCAAATTGAAAAATATATTTATTCATGTAGGTCCATTAGAGACCCTTATGATAATTCTAATTAATATACAGTATGTGTATTCATGAGTATGATTGTTTGTTTCGGTCTTGTCTCTATATTATGTATGTATTTACAAAAAAATCTAAGTATTTATATCTGAAATATTATGAATATAATTGAGTATCGATCTTATATATCAGTTGTCTAGTATCCATAACACAAGCTCTGCTTACCGTGGTACTAGATTGCGCTGTCATAATTGTCCAAGGATTATTTATTATATTGTCCCCTGGACAATATAATAAATTGATCCTAAAATAATTATTTATTATATATCCCCTGGACAGTTGAATTAAATGTTTATCCTGCAATTTCACTAAACTGGGTTCTTGCGCATTAACCGTTTCAATACTACTCACCGAACCCTAAAATCAGGTTCCCCTTAGATGAAAGTTACGTATTCAAAATTGCAAGCCACTAGTCGGTACCTTATTGTACATAAGACTTAGTTCAATTGCAAATAAAGAAATGGGATCAGACATGGTGACCTTGTACAGGCAAGGGTAAAACAGATCGACCGCTCATTAGATAGAGTGGCGGCAGATGTGTGTAATACAAATATTGCTTGCTAGCTGTGCCCGCGATTTCACCCACGCGAAATATCATACTAGATTTTGTCCAATTAATCCATTAATTAAAAATTATTTATTTTTTTTAATGAAAAGTATCTTAAACTTCTCATGTAATTTATTGACGCCCTCTAAAGGAATATAGGATGAGGAATATTCAGGCTGACTAAAAATATAATTACTTAAATTATACTTTAACGGTATCGATGGTCTAGTGGCTGCGCTAATGGTTTACGCTGGCGGGGCACCAGTGGAGGATGACAAGATGAACATGAGGCCAGGTCAGTCAATCACGATAGTTTCCAGGGGGAACCACGTGGAGGTCAACCTGACATGATACATTGCTAGCAATGTATCATGTCAGGTAGACCTCCACGCGGTCATGATTCATCATGATTCATATCACTGAAGCACATTTTGTAATAATAGCAATTTAAATATTGTAACAATAAAATATAAAAGTTTAACTCTACTAATTTGAGAAACGATGCGTTAATTTTATATTATAACTAGCTTTTGCTCGCGGCTTCGCTCGCATTAATTTATCCCCTTAGGGGTGGAATTTATCAAAATCCTTTCTTAGAGGATGCCTACGTCATAGTAGCTTTATGCATGCAAAGTCTCAGCCCGATCGGTTTAAAATTGACAAAGTTTCATACAAACTTTCATCCCCTATTTTATCCCCTTGGGGGTAGAATTAATCAAAATCAGAACGGATGCCTACGTCATAACATCTACTTGCATGCCAAATTTCAGCCCGATCCGTCCAGTGGTTTGGGCTGTGCGTTGATAGATCACTATGTCAGTCACCTTTGAGTTATATATATTTAGATTGTTACATTATAATATTAATGTTTAACATTAAATTTACAGCATATATTTTATATGTAATATCATATTATCTGTGATAATAGGTATTGTTTAATTAATTTATACCTTTATGATGGTATTGTTTAATTGATTTATACCTTGATGTAGAATATAGTATGAGGAATATTCAGGCTGACTAAAAATATAATTACTTAAATTATACTTTAACGGTATCGATGGTCTAGTGGCTGCGCTAATGGTTTACGCTGGCGGGGCACCAGTGGAGGATGACAAGATGAACATGAGGTCAGGTCAGTTAGCCCATCGTGACAAATTCGCCAGGAATTTATCACGATAGTTACCAGGGGGAACCGCGTGGTGGTCAACCTGACATGATACATTGCTAGCAATGGGTCATCAGTCCTCATTACTAACAATCCTCTTCCCTCCAACGTTTGTATTAATGAGTATGATTGTTTGTATCGGTCTGGGTGTTTTATATGTATAATATGTATGTATTTACAAAAAAAATTATGTATTTATATCAGTTGTTCAGTACCCATAACACAAGCTCTTACCGTGGGACTAGATGGCGCTGTCAATTGTCTAGGGTTATTTATTTATTATTTGAATTTAAATCACAGCAATGAACCGATTTGATATATACATATCAAATCGGTTCATTGGTGTGATTTAAATTCGAAAAAATTCTAACTTGGGTCTAGATGGCGCTGTGTGAATTGTCCTGAGATTATTATTATTATTTTCATTTTGAAGGTTTTCTACCACAGTTACGGGCCGAAACCAAGTAAGTGCCGTGTGTGTGTTTATGAGTGTACTTTATTATTATTATTTTTAAATATTACTATAGCCAAAGTCAAATTGGTAGTCAACTTTCTAACTGTTAGGATGTTGGTTTATTAATCCCAGAGTATACACAAAACCAGTATAACAAGGAAAGTATGCGTATTTTAAAAACATATAAACATATACCTACACAATACTACACATATTTTTGCAGTGACCTTCCTTATTGTATACTAACTGTTACCGCGACTGCGTCCGCGTGGAATTTTATTTTATTTTTCTAAAATAAAAGTAGCCTTAGTTACTCCTTATTACATCAGCTACCTGCCAAAAAAAGTCCTGTCAAAATCGGTCCAGCCATTTCAGAGATTAGCCGGAACAAACAGACCGATAGACCGACAGACAAAAATTGTAAAAAACGTTATTTTGGTGTATGTACCGTGTTTATATTCATATGCATGCAAAAACGGTTATTTCAATATTACAAACAGACACTCCAATTTTATTTATATGTATTGATGTATAGATGTCCATAATGAATAGGTACGGATCTAAAGGTACAATATAAAGTGATTACATGACAATAAAAATCTAAAATACAGATCTTCATTGTGTTTTTTTTTGTGCGAGCATAGACAATGAAGCAGATAAAAAACAACTCAAAGTTCATATGAGTATATTAGGAGCCGTCAACTTCGTCACACTTTGAGGTGGGAGAGGTAGGAAGGGGAGGGAGGTACATGGCACATAAACAAGGGTTGATACAAACTTTATCAACCCTTATTTCTTTATTTACTAGCTACCCGCCCCGGCTTCGCACGGGTGTACATGTAATATACACATAAACCTTCCTCTTGAATCACTCTATCTATTAAAAAAACCTCTTCAAAATCCGTTGAGTAGTTTTAAAGATTTAAGCTTACATAGGGACGGACAGACAGCGGCAGGGACTTTGTTTTATACTATGTAATGATTTAATTCAGGCCTCTAATGGACTATATTATAAATACCTTACAATCTAACATACATATGAATAATATAATTAATAGAAAATGTTCTTAAATTAATATAAATTTACAAATGTCAATAAAAGAAAGGCACAACGTAATATAATAAAACAAACATTCACTCTTTATTAATAGAAAAATAAATATTAATTGTCTGCGTGGTCAGATCACTGATGATGGTAATCTGCCACGGTAGCGCCGATACACCACACCCTTCGGCCAGTAGTCCTCCTTCATGAAGGTGGGCAGCATGTTGGTGGGGACCCGGGTTAGAAACACTTTGAAACTCGCGTTGTGACTCGACTCCAGCTGCATCACCCTCAATGTCAAGTTACTCCTGGTACGTATGTAGTCGACAATGTCCTTCTGCACCATGCACATAATAAATGGTTGGGAGAGTCAAAAACTTCGTGTAAAACGATATGAAATCTACGACCCCTCATACCTAGTATTTTTTTGGAATAGTGCTGCTTGCAATAACGTTGCGTAACACCCAGACCGATACAAGCAATCATGCTACTGAATACAAACGTTTGTACCGTGCGAGGAATCGAATGAATGAATGAATGAAACTCTTTATTGTTCCTCTCACAGAAAATACAATTACATATACAATTATGTATAAAATGATAAAAAAAAAATATAATACAATAAACAAGACAAAGAGGTAACAATGGGCGGCCTTATCGCTAAAAAGCGATCTCTTCCAGGCAACCTTAGGATGGAGAGAAGTGATTATATTTGCGTCTGGTAGAGGTGTAATGATGGTAACAATATTGGAAGAAAAGTTATAAATATACATATAACATAATACAATACAAAATAATATAATAAACTTACATATATATGAATATATATACAATCACACATACATACGACCGTAATACTACTATTACGATAACTTACGTAAATAGTGGTTTTTGATACCTAATTTGAAGCTCTGCAGTGATTTTAGTCTTCGAAAAGATGTGGGCACTTCGTTCCAAAGACGAACACACTAAATGATTTGTCGTAGAATGTAGTGCTATGTCTTGGTATCTTTAACTGGAGACTCTCTGACGACCTAAGATCAACGGTATTCGAGGCATGGAGGAAGGTAAACCGCTCTTTCAAGTAGTGAGGAATTGAAGGGTTATAAAGAATGTTATGTAGAAGGGTAAGAAGGTGAGTATTCCGACGAAAGCGAATGGGATGCCACTTGAATTTAGTGCGAAACTCGGAAATTAGATCATATTTTCGGAGACCGAAAATAAATCTGATAAAAATATTTTAAACCCATTTTTTCGAACCCATAACCATCGAAAGTAAAGCAGTGAGATCACCGCTAGATCACCAAGGCCGCGTATTCTGATCGACTTTTCGCATGAAACAAACTCCGAATGTGCTTAGAGAAGTGTGTCGTAACTTGGGCCGTGTCACAAGGAATAGATTGGTTGCGGCAACCGGCAATGATCGTTAGGTAACAGTCTGCAACCGATCACGTGACTCCACTTTGACATTTGAAAGTCACTCAGAGCACACTGTACTATAATAATAATAATAATAATGTATTTATTATCAGGCTTAATTGCCCACTTTGTTAGTATTACAGATTTCTTATATTTATTACAGATTTCTTATAATTAATGTTAGTACGTACAGACTACAGACACAAAATACACACACAAAAATAATAATAATACAAATAATATCAAAAATTAATATTAACTATACACCAGGGGTATCCAGGGGTAAACAACCTTTTACTACAACGGGCCAATATATTTTTTTGCCAGGCCGCACATAACGTAACTTAATTTTTTTTTTCTAAATTTATTTAATAATAAACTTTAGAATAAAAATATATAAAAATAAAAGAAGCAATAGTCGTATTCGACAAGTCAGTCGCCGACAAGGAGTAATTCGTCAGAAAATATTGTTACTGCTTAGGAGGTATTTACTACCATTTTACTATAATTAATTTGATGACAATATATTGATGGGAGAAAGTAAAAAGAGGGGATTGTTAGTAATGTGGTTCTCCCAAATTTGAATTGAAAAATGAGTCTGTATTATTATAAACATGTATAACATTTATTTGAAAAGAATACGAGCTGAGTTTCTTGTCAGTTCTTCTCATCTCGAAATCATTTCGAACCGACGGTAGGTTTTGACATATCATAAGAGACTCTTAAATAGACTCAAATAGACCTACATGAACAAATTTTGATTTTTTTTGTGGACTGATGATCTTATTGCTAGCAATATAACATGTTTGACCTCCACGCGGTTCCTCCTGGAAACCATCGTTATAAATTCCTGGTGAATATGTCATAATGGGCTAACTGACCTGACCTCGTGCTTATCTTATCATCCTCCACTGGTGCCCCGCTAGCGTAAAACGTTAGTATAGGGTAGCATGCACCATTTCATTATCATACATAAAAAAATGTATTCGCAGAATTTCAGAATTTCGCGCGTAATTCTGTAATGCAGGGCTGTCTAAATCGCGGCCCGCGGTTTGTATGCGGCCCGCGGTTTTTGTGCATGCGGTCCATTGCCTATTTTTGTTGACCTTACCTGTATGAGTAAGACGGGTGCATCATTCCATTATCATAAAAAAGCGGTGTTTAGGGCAGAGCCGGACTATTCACCCCCACTTGTATTATAGAATACAGTTATGTGAAGGATTATTGTAATACATTTTAGTAGTAGATCCGTAATACAAGGCTCTACATGCCATGTTGGCGTTTCGTTCCCTTATGCCCAATTTACACTCAGCCCGAGTGGGCAGGGAAGTGAGCACGGAAATGAGCAGCGCGAGAGTGTAAACACGAGTGGAAACACTTGCCATGCCATTGGCGCTGCCACTCGCGCTATCGGCGCTCCCTCGATTGTAGGTTTTTCGTGCGCGAGTCAAAGGACTGGCAACGCGAGTGGCAGCGTGTTTTTACATTCAGCCGTCTCGCTCAGTTTTTTTTTAAAGGATTTTTATGGAATGGTTCACCCGCCTGCGCTATCGGTTTACGCTGGCGGGGCACCAGTGGAGGATGATAGGATGAACATGAAGTCAGATCAGTTAGCCCAACGTGACAAATTCACCGGGAATGTATCACGATGGTTTCCAGGAGGAACCGCGTGAACAACCTGACATGGTACATTGCTAGCAATGACATTATTAGGCCACATTACTAACAATCCCCTTCCCCCCTCCTCTCGCTCAGTTGTCGCCCGGCAATATTTCCGGCAGCGCGAGTGGCAAGGGAAGCGGCTGAATGTAAACGTAGTATTAGGGCCTTTGAGTTGAGGTCCAAGTTACTACTCGTGTCTGATGGTGATCTTATTACTAAGATACAAATAAAAAAATATTTATCTATCTATCTAAATATAAAAAGTAATTACGAGTATATCCCAACGATATGGTAATAAATGGTATTACCATCGATATACGATTACATACGTAATTTTAATAATATTATAATATAAACGCGAAAGTTTGTGAGTATGGATGGATGTTACTCATTCACGCAAAAACTACTGGACGGATTTTGATGAAACTTTACAGTAATATAGCTTATACATCAGAGTAACATATCCTTTATCATCATTACCTAATATAAAACAAAGTCGCTGTCGCTGTCTGTCCGTCCTATATATGCTTAAAACTTTAAAACTACTTCTTTTTAATAGATAGAGTGATTCTAGAGGAAGGTTTATATATATAATACACGTACACCCGTGCGAAACCGGGGCGAGTAGCTAGTAATAATATTAATATAAAAGTAGGGATGTTTGTTACGTTTACACGCAAAAACTACTGAACCGCTCATTATGAAATGTTGTACTTTTTATTAAAAAAAAATAATGATTCAATGTGAGCGAAGCCGCGGGTAAAAGCTAGTACGCTATAAATTTCATGCGGGTGAATCCGCGTTATTAATACACAACATAATTTTCACTGATTTATTTCCTCTTATGATACATTTGATATTCAGAATACACTGACGTCAATACAAACACATGAAATAATTATAAATATATTTCTAAAATGTACAATAGAATGGCAAAATTGTACATATTATATATTTGGCAACGCGCATGTGACATCCCAGGTGTTTCAGGCATCCATATGCTACGGTAACCGTTTACCATCAGATGGGCCGTATGCTTGCTATCTACTAAAACATATGTTCATAAATAAACGAAATTTATCAATACATAGTATTTTTTTGTGACTTAAATTGATTTAGAATTTTATTAAATAATTTTAGGATTGTAGGAAAATAATAAAAAAAATTAATAGACTAATCGACTTGTTAAATATTTATTTTACAGATTACTATAAAATGCTTATTTTATGCGAGGAATTAAAGAATAATATGCAAGTCGAGCCCAAACCAAAAACAGAAGAAAAAAAACAAGTTAATAAAATTACACATAACATAATATAATTGGTAGGAATATATATATTCCAGGAAGTAATATTATTTCCAATAGATATAATTTTGGTTGGTAGGTTTTTGATTGACGGCATGGCAACATTGTTAAGCTTTTAAATGGCTAATTAAATTTTAACACATTGAATTTTCGTGTTTTTTCTACTATAGTATATTTACTGTTTAAAATTCGTAATTGCTTATATTGTACAAAAAAAGTTTCAAATAAATAACATTGGTATTTTTGTAGAAAATGGTAGCAAAATTGTATTTAGATATTATTATTAAAGTGTACAAAATTTTGGACTATATGTTAGGTATATGTATTTAATATTATGATATAGACACAGACAGACGAATATAATGCTGAATATATTGTTGTATGTTTAATTCTTTAGGTACTTATAGTTATTATAAATTAGTAATACCTATATATTTAGTTATAGTATTTAGAAAAGTGCTTAAAATTAACTGAAAATAAATTAAGAAAAATCGAAAATAGTGACTAGTTCTGCAGACTATTTTATTATATAAATACAAACATTGTTAAAAAGAGTATTATTACAAAATACTACCATATTTACGAGACTATGATAAAAAAACATCAAATTTGTGTCGTGAACACGAAACATTGCAATAACAATAAATTATTTTACATTCATAAATCTATAAATATCATTAAATAACTTAACATTTATTTATATAGGTATATCTTAAATACAAAATATTTGACAAATTAATATAAAAAATGAAATTTATATATTTTTTCTGTTCATAAAATTTGTTATGAACATTTCTTCTGATTTCCAGCATTTTTTCAAAGATCTGTAATTTTATTTTTGATATATGGAAACATTGTTTAAATCTATTTTCTTTTTTCAATACATTCATAATTATTTTTTTAATTAGTTTTAATATTTGTTATAAATCCTGCCTGTTGTTTAATTAAATAAATAATAAATTAGCACCTGTATATTACGTTAACTATTATAAATTAAAACATAAGTTGTTCGTCTAATATAGTTTATTATTGATTTATAGACTATAAAGAATCTTTCGCCTATATCTACCTGGTTGTTAGGTAGCGAAGGACAAATTAAGTGCGCTTAAGAATTTAAAAAAGTAAAAAAGTTATATTTTCTTAATTTTGTACGAATTAGGTAATACATTTAATAACTAGATTCCTTTCCGATGTTTATACACCTAAAAATCTGTGTAAGGTGTTGCCAGCTTTCCAGTGCCGTCTAACGATACTGGTCTGTAATAATCGGTCATTTCCCCCCAACCGCGCGGCGCCATATTGAAATTGGGACCAGAGACAAGCGGCAGGCGTGGACTCTTTGGCGCGGCATAGACATCGTTTAGTTTCGTCGGCGCTAACGGCACGGGCACCTCGACGTTTTGTAAAGTTATGGTCGGCGTAGAGATGGGAAATGGTTCCATCTTGGGCAGGCTATTGTTGGAATATTTCAGCGCTGATTTCGGGTATGTTTTCTGACTTCGAAGACTTGATGGCGGGCGGTAGGCGGTGTCGTGGTTGGCTACCGGTGTGGGCGTCGAGCAGGAGTTAGATGTGTTACGGCCTGGAAATTTTAAAACAAGAATGGCGTTATAACTTATATTGTATTTCTATTGTAAATGGTGTTATTTATAGTGTTATCTACAGTTGTTTTTTTTAATAATAATAATATTATAATTACTTTTTTTGAGAAAGTAAAAAAAGTGGATTGTTAGTAATGTGGTTCTCCCAAATTTGAATTAAAAATGAATCTGTATTATTGTCAACATGTACAACATGAATAAAGATTACCGAAAAGCATAAAACTCCGTTCACCAGTTTTTGCGTGAAAGAGTAACAAACATCCATCCAAAATCCACAAACTTTTTCTCGTTTATAATATTAGTAAGATAATATAGCCATAAAAATGAAGTTAATTTGTAATGAACTCTTTGAGAGAGGTCAACAAAGCCTGTTGATAATAAATCATTCTATATTTACTGCATTATAGTAAACTGCACTGACTGGCACGCTACCAAACTGTCAATTCAGTCACGTACTCTGAGTAATTACTGCACGCTATAGCTGTACGAATTTGTAATATATCTTTAGGAGATTAAAATTAATTTAGTATAATAAATAACTCTGCATATCACAGAACGCCGGATAATCCTAAACTAAATAGAGTATGTTTTCAACTTTCAAGTCATTTTAGCCACTTCATCGTCGTCAAATGTTTTGTCTTATTTTTTTTCCCTACCGTCCTGTTCAGTATATATAAAAATTTACAATAAGATACCAAAGGATATACTGGAATTACTTTTAAATAAATTTAAAACATCTATTAAATCAGTAAAGCTCACTCACTAAACGATTACTTGAATGACGAGGGTGCATAGCAATAGTTGTTCATGCATGGGATTTTCATTTAATGTGTGTATACAATGAATATTCGGACTTTTATAAAAAAAGAAATTCAGTTGACAAGGCTGTCTGGAAGAGATTGCATTTATTCATTTAGGACATTTAATTCGCTTATTGTCGTCAAGTTTTCTGTATTAATATTTTTTCCTACCATCCAGTTCAGTATATAGATCAAATTGAGAAGAACTGTCAAGAAACTCAACTGAATTTCTTTTTTTTATGAATCAGTTATTTACATTATTTACTTGTAAAGTTATTTATGTCTAACATTAAATGATGAATGAAATATCCCTTGCATGAACAACTATTGCCATGCACGCTCGTCATTCAAGTAATCGTTTAGTGAGTAATGGGCTTTGCTCAGTAAATATGATTTAACAGATGTTTTGAATTTATTTAAAGGTAATTTCAATTCGCTATGTAGACAGACAAAGCGTTCTAAATCATACAGCCTTACAGATAGGCTGTATGTGAGTGTACTACAATGTGATATTTTTAAGAGATGGTTTTTATCTCCTCAGGACAGAGTGTACTTTCTAAAGGAGATATGGGATTAATATAATCCGCTTTAGATTTATTTGTGTTATCCAATGATAACACAAATAAATCTAAAGCGGATTATATTATTATTATTATTATCGTTTATTACTAATATTGTAATTATACAATAATAGTATTAAAAAATAAAATTTTAACTATTAAAATATTTACCAGCTATGATGGGGTAAAAATTACTAAAATTGGTGTGACGTAAATTATAGATCACAATTATCATCATCATCATCATTATCATCAGAATCGTCATCATTATCACCATCATCATCACAATTACATATGAATATTTACCTCTTCCCTCGTGCACCCATTTGACAGATCGCTTCTTCCTGTTCACATACATGCTTTGTCCTCTGCTCATGTGGTTGCTAGAGTCGCTGAGGGACTTGGAGATGGCCCGGGCCAAGTCCATCTGCTCCTTGACAGTGGGGTGCACGCCAGGCACGTAGAAAGCTGATGACGCGAATGTTTTTTCTGAAATAATAGAGACAGAAAATGTTAAATTTATTTACCAGAATTCCGCTTTAATAGATCAATAAAAAGCGGCAGAAGCGGGAAGCCGGGTACACCATACGCGGCTGCGCTAACGGTCTACGCTGGCAGGGCACTAGTGGAGGATATTAGGATGTGCATAAGGTCAGGTCATTGCACCATTCACCATCGACAGGGAATTCATCCTCACATACTAACTTAAATGGTATCGGACAGTGCAGTTTCAGAGGGGTGTCCTCCCTTACAGGTCCACTAAGACTCTTAAGTGAATTACCTGCCAAGCTTTTCTCGAGAGACTATAGCATGGGGTATTTCAAGGAGGGTAAAGGTTTCATAAGGGTAGGCAATGATATCATTGGTGTTTCTGTCGTTCAGAGGCTACGATACATTTTCAATCAGATGGGCCGTATGCTTGATTGCCATTATTGTAGTATAAAAAACCGGTAAGATAGTTTAGAATGTTAATAATAATATTATAAACGCAAAAGTTTGTACTTTGTTACTCTTTCACTCAAACACTACTGAACGCATTTTGATGAAACTTTACAGTAATATAGCTTCTTGCTTATGCATCAGAATAACACATAGGCTATATTTTTTATTGAAATTTAACGCGGGTGAAATCGCGAGCACAGCTAGTTATAAAGTAAAGTTTTACCGAATTTGCGGTCCTTCTTAATTAGATGCTCCTCAGCATCAGGCGCCGGAGTGAATATCTTGTTCAGGTCGATCTCCTTCTCTCCAGGCAGCAGCGGTTTGTTTTCCAGATCCTCCTGGAAAAGGTACCCCCATGGTCAATGAATTTATATACGTTTTAGTTATAAACAATATATTACTGGTATGATTACAAGATGAGATGGTAACTGATTACATATAAATATAATACCTTAGCTGATCCGACAAACGTTAGTTTACCAAATAAATTGAAGTACTAATATCGCTATAAAAGACAGCTGTTGATCGTAAAAGAGTGAAATTTTAAAGTTGCTTGTATTTTCAATGGTAAATCTTAATAAAAAAAAGTTGGTCGATTCGCAGACCTACATATGCACACGAAATTTCATAAAAATCGGTAAATCTGTTTCGGAGGAGTTTGGTAACAAACACCGCGACACGAGAATTTTATATATCAGATCTAAAAGAAATCTGTCAAGGATTGAATGGATCTTTCAAAAAGATGTCTCATCACAAGAAGAACGAGTGGCTTGTGTGTTGCTGAAATAATCCTTGTAAGTTTACATTTACTAGATTACAAACTACCAACAAGACAAATTTTTTTTGTCAAATATAATCATGCAGAGAATTTGCAACCATTATATATACTGCCTTTCTACCTCTAATTCTAACTTTACTGGAATTTGTCGGAATGACATTTTAGTGAGCAATAATGATTCGAACGTCACAGAAAAAATACTATATGGAACAGTATTCGTTTAACGAAGGATGCATGGAATCAATACAAAAGCGCCATCATATATCAAGAATTGACCATTAAAATTATAACGTTGTCCGCAAATAAGTTGGTCGTCATATATTGAATCTATAAATTCATCTATTTATATATACATAGCCATTCGATTAAAGATTTAACTTCTGGTGGAATTTATCGGAATGACTTCATTAAAAAATGAATTACTAACGAGAATTTTATATATCAACGAAGTGAAGAATTTTGTCATTGATTTTTTCAAAGAGAGTGGCATTGAACGCACGCGATGTTAGAGTTGGTCGTTAGATACAGAATTTACAACCATTATATATACTGCCATTCGATTAATGATTTAACTTTGGTGGAATTTGTCGGAATGACTTCGTAAAAAAATACGGAAGTATGTGTAACGAAGTCGGGGAAACTCGTCATATTTGAATTGACCATTAAGTTAGGTAGAGTTGGTCGTCAGATACAGAATTTACAACCATTGTATATACTGCCATTCGATTAAAGATTTAACTTTGGTGGAATTTATCGGAATGACTTCATTAAAAGGTACGGAAGTATGTACAACGAAGCTGAAGAATTTTGCCATATTTTATTCGACCATTGAACGCACGCGATGTTATAGTTGGTCGTCAGATACAGAATTTACAACCATTATATATACTGCCATTCGATTAAAGATTTAACTTTGGTGGAATTTGTCGGAATGACTTCATTAAAAGGTACGGAAGTCTGTACAACGAAGCTGAAGAATTTTGCCATATTTGAATATGGTCATATGGTCAATACCATTGAGCGCACGCGGTAGTATCAGATTCATTCCATTTTTAGAGAGGTTGGTACTCAAACATCATGCGCGTAATTGGAAAGGTTCGTTGTTGTTTATTATTTGATCTTTAACTATTATTCGGTTAATATAGGTTTAATAAAGTTATTATGAAAATTGAAGTTTTATAGAAAAACAGCTGTTCTATAAAGAAATATATATTAAGGAAAAGTTAATAGTGAACTAATTAGGTGGATAGAAATAGAAGCGAAGTAACGTAATAATAAAGTGAGTACAGATTAAGACAGAATGGAAGCTTGCAGTTATATTAAAAAAATAATAAACATTAACAAAACTCTACTCCATTCTTAAAACTACCTATAATGCATAAATATGTTAATTTACATATAATTATTTATATACTAAGTTTTATTATTATTTTATATTATAAACAACACTATATTGATCCTTACGTGGCTTTGAGCTATTCTTCTATCAAATTCTATCCATATTGGTTTAAGAGTTTAGTGAATAATAACACACCAAATGTAATGATGTTTAATATAAATATTGATATATCATACATACATCCTAGTGTAGGGCAAAAGGGAGAAACGTTTTCTCTCACGAGGGTAGGACATTACCACAGAAGTACCAACTACATATATAGAGACTAAGCTTGAGCACTAGTTGAATCTAGAAAGTATTATACATATATAGTCTAACATGAATAATGTGCTGAATTTTATAGTTACCACTTCATAAACTAAAACAGTAAATTCCACCATTCTCATGTTTAAAAATTACATTTTGAAATGAGCACTAGTAAAAAAGTTTTCACTCTGTAGATTACTTAATCCTCTAGTAGTGGATATGGGACTATCTTACAGCGCTATCATGTTTTAAATTATATTTGAGAATGAGCACTAGCTAAAAAGATTTCACTCTGTAGATTACTTAACTACTTACGAACATACATTACTGAAGATTATTTAATCCTCTAGTATATGGAATATGGAAGTATGTTCTTACTCTATGATCTTACGAAGAAAATATTATTACGGATCCTGGAAAATGTAGTGATAAATTCGCCACGACCTACGTGCCAACTGATCTGACTTCATTCTTATTATGTCATCCTCATCTGGTGCCCTGAGCTTATACCTATAGCCCATCGGATGTACCATTCCAGAAATCTTAATCTTAATAATATTATAAACTAAGATTAAGATTTATGGAATGGTACATCAGATGGGCTATAGCTATAGGTATCCGCGAAAGTTTGTGAATATGGATGTTTGTTACTCTTTCACGCAAAAACTACTGAACAGATTTTGATGAAACTTTTCAGTAATATAGCTTATGCATCAGATTAATACATGGGCTATATTTTATATTGAAAGTTAACGCGTGAGATACCGCGGGGACAGCTAGTCATTCATAAAAAAACAAATATACTCTAATTTGTTAGAAAAATATCAAAGCAAAATACTGTGTTATGAACATATAATATTAGTAAATAAACAAATAATAAAAGAATCATCAAACAAGCATGAAATCACCACAAACATGTCTCTCTAATGACAGCAATCCTGTGATATTTACAAGTAGATATATGAAACTAATGTGTCCGTGTTTTGTGAAATTGTGGGACATTCTTACAGGCGGGAATTCCAGTGGTCGTCCTGGTGAGACTTCCCGGGACACTTCCGCGTCGTTCTGCATAATATAGTATCAAATGTTAGTACACAGTTTTTATTAAGCATTTGTATTTCTGCTTGATTGTTATCATTTTAGTATTATTAGTAAACAATGTTTTTAACTCTATTTGATCTTCGATTTATTTATGACTTCCAGTTTGGGTAGGAAAAAATAAGGTATTAAGTAAAAAAAAATATTTTTCAAATTTTATGTTTTTATTGTTTTAAAAACATATTTTCGTTGGCTTTTAGCACAGGCTAACATTTTTCTGTTATCTTTAAATGTTGCAAAGATTTGTATTTAATTAAATTTATTGATACTCTATTTCTTTCTTCCCGCCACTTTAGATTCTTCACTGAAAAAACTCTTTCAGTGAAAACTGAAATGGCGGGAATGGAGAGTAGGTAAGAATTTTTTTTTTATTTTGGTAAGCTATCAGATGCATTTTTAATTAAATATTGCCATTTTTCTAATGTACTTTTCACAGAAAATTCTTTATCATCGTTAGTTTTACGCATCACAGTAAAGATTGAAAATAAAGTATTCGACGACCTCGGTGGTCTAGTGGTTTAGCACACCGCTTTACGTCCGATGGTTGAGGGTTCAATTCCTCGCACGGCACAAATATTTGTATTAATGAGTATGATTGTCTGTATCGGTCTGGGTGTTTACTATGTATAATATGTATGTATTTACGAAAAAAAAATTCTCTATGTACTTGTATCAGTTATCTAGTACCCGTAACACAAGCTTTAGATAGCTTAACTTGGGTCTAGATGGCGCTGTGTGAATTGTCCTGAGATTATTATTATTATTATTACATATTTTAATTGTATGTATTAAAGTATAATTACCAAATTTAAAGTAGGATACATTATTATAAAGCATGGTTGGCAACCCTACTGCCAGTTCTTGTCTTGGAAGAAAGAAAATAATATTTATTTATTTATCCCTTTGAAGCAACATATATTGTGTAGAATAACGTACAAAGTCTAAAATATAATAACTTTAACAATCGATTTTGTTGACAACAAACACAGTGCAATAGGTCAATTGAGGTCTTTATATTTATTTATTAATTCATTCGAAACAATATAAATTATGTAGGATATAGATATACGAGGTCTAAAATATAATAGTAACTTTTACAGTCGATTTTGTTATATCAGCAATTGTACTGCATCGGTCAATTGAAGTCTTTATAAATAATAGAGCTAGGAAGATGCGTAAAACAACGAAACCTTCCCCCAATTACGCTTTGTGAGCTCAACATTGCTCTCACAAAGGAATGGGAGAATATTTCCCAAAATCGTATAAGGAACTTGGTGTACAACATGCCAAACCAGGTAAACGCAGTAATGGAAGCACGAGGAGGTAATAAAAAATATTAAAATTCGAGAAAGTCATATTGTTGTACATAAATGTCATGTTTCCTATTTTTGTTTTACAGCGTGATCAACGGTTTTTTTTTCTTTATGTAGTAGTGACTTATAATTTTTATTACTTTCATTTAAGAGGTATTATATTGTCTATTGAACACAATTTATTTCATTAAGCTAGCATTCGTAGTTTTCGAGATATATAGGTTTTTTTAAGTGACCCGGATTCATTGCTCTCGAGTGTATTTTACACTATTATAATTATTTATTTATTTATTAAAACTTTAATGCACAAATACATAAATAAAGGTACACATGACGGACTTAACACCTTGAGGCATTTTCTCCCAGTCAACCATTGGGCAAACAGAGATTCATGTTGGCGGTGCATTAAGAAATTGAAATTGAAATCTAAAAAAAATAAAATAATAAGAAGATCACTTTAATATGATATAATTATATATACGTTATTATAATGATGACCTTCATTATAGTAGTCATTTATTGTATAATAACACTTATTCAATGAAAATGTCCTCAATCAATAATTTATTTCTTTGGAACTAGCCACTCGCCCCGGCTTCGCACGAGTGTACATGTCAGGGATGTTGGGGAGCTCGGTAACCGTAACCTATCGGACTATCGGATATCCGATATAAAAAAATACCCGTAACCGTAACCGAATCCGAAATAAGAGTTTCGGATAATATCGGATAGGGGTGGAGCCTAATTGAGACACGTTATGTAACCATTTTATTAGCTATTTGTAGTTTACTTTTCAAAATTCCTTAAAAAATTAATATCCGTAACCGAAATTATCCGAAACTAACGGATGATCCGAAATAATTTCATATCCGCATCCGTATCCGGTATAATAATCATTCCTATATCCGTATCCTATAAACCTATCTGTATCCTAAATTTCATATCCATAACATCTCTGGTACATGTATTATATATATAAACCTTCCTCTTGAATCACTCTATCTATTATAAAAATCGCTTCAAAATCCGTTGCGTAGTTTTAAAGATTTAAGCATACATATGGACGGACAGACAGCGACAGCGACTTTGTTTTATACTATGCTGATATAATGATAACAGCAGCTTACTTTTAATTGCTACTATTTAACAGTTTAGACATTAACACCTAGCCAATTGTAGCGATTCACGATATACTGAAAAATACGTGGCACTGAACGTAAAAAAATAACATTGTTATATTACATAATTACAATTGTAATAACAAAAAACTTGTCTTGCATAAGTGAGTTTTGTGCTACATGAATAAACGATTTGTGAATTTGAATTTAAAATGTTTAATGGGATATAGAGACATAAAGAATACGCAATAGAACTGAAGAAATATTACAACCTTACAAATAATTAACGAAAAAATGATTGCATAGTTAATATATAGGTATAGGTAGTAGAAGTAAGAGAGCTATGTATACCAGCAAAATCTCTCTTTGACCACCTGTCTTCTGATGAATTGTTTGACATGATGCCTACGGCTACCTTTTACCATCGCACCGCTCGCCATCGACAGGGAATTGATCCCCACACGCTGGAACCTAAGTGGTCTCGGACAGTGCGGTTTCAGAGGAGCTTCCTCCCGCGTACACTTAGATTGTGGAATGAACTACCTGTCGAGGTTTTTTCGAGAGACTACAGCATGGGGTTTTTCAAGAAGGGTATATTAAGGTTTCTTAAGGGTCGGCAACGCGTATGTGACACCCCTGGTGTTTCAGGCGTCCATAGGCTGCGGTAATCGTTTACCATCAGATGGACCGTATGCTTGGTTGCCACCTACATTTTATATAAAATAATATTTTTTTTTATTAATACCTGTCTTTGGAGTACAGCTCCTATTACATGTTACGAGGTATTTCTGATTAAAATAATCTGTTATGTTATTTTATGAATGAACAACTTAAAGTAAAATATCTTTATTCATGTATATAGTTCTATCTTATATATAAAATTCTCGTGTCACAGTTTTCGTTCCCATACTCCTCCGAAACGGCTTGACCGATTCTCATGAAATTTTGTGACCGTATTGAGTAGGTCTGAGAATCGGCCAACATCTATTTTAAATCTATTCTAAATGTTAGTGGTAGTCTACCCCTAATTTTTTTATTTTTATTTTAAGGCAAAACAACGTTTGCCAGGACAGCTAGTTTATTCATATAAAAACTGCTTCCTATTTCTCAGTGAGAACAGTTGTCATTCCTTGCGTACCGTAAACAATCTCCGTCTTAGAATTCCCATTCATTCCACTCCCTTTTATACAAAATCATTTTCTGTTCATGTAATATATATACCCGCTTCCTGCTTCTATTCGGTGCCCTCAATCTCTTGCTAGCTTTAAAGCATCAGTAAAATCTCATTTCCTTTCCCTTTAGTTCTATTTTTCCTTTTTTTGTTAACCCTTTCTTTCCTTTAAACTTTTCATGGATATGTGTATAATGAAATTTATATATGTAGGTATATACATATATATGTATATTTGCATGTATTATTTATATATTAGTTGTGTTGTTATTTGCACCACCTACTCTTTTTCATATACCTTCACCGTCTACCTAAAGGTTGCCTGTAAGAGATTGCTTAGCGATAAGGCCGCCTTTGTACCTATGATTGTATATATATATTTATATTAATTAATATGTTTCTGTTCTGGTGCAATAAAGTGTATAAATAAATAAAATAAAAATAAATAGTTCTATTACAAACAACAATGTTAATGACATTCATAAGCGGCTAAAATGTCCTACCTGAAGAATTGTTTTTTGATTTGATTGGTAAGTTATTTATAAGTAATCATACCAGTAGATTTTTTTAGCCAATTAATATAGCGCCATCTAGTCCCACGGTAAGCAGATATTGTGTTATGGGTACTAGACAACTGATATAAATATGTATTTTTTGTAAATATGTATATAATATATATAGTAAAGATCCAGAGCGATACAAACAATCATACCCATGAAACGGTGCAAACATTTGTAGTTTGCATCGAGCGAAGAATCGAACCCGCGGCCATTGTAAATAAACCGGTGTTTGCCAGACCGCTAGTTTTGATTTGATTTTATTGTCATTTCATTAAAAAATTAACCAAAAGAAATACTATGGAATTGAACCCGCTCCTTTAGAAGTCGGTTGACAAATCATCAACCAAAAAGTCATTACACTACACGAGAGATGACAATACAATGTCATAAGCTTACAAACTCATAATATACGGGACCTACCTACGTATATTGGCTCACACACAGCAAACATTTTGAACCGTATTCCCCTGTGTTAACGTACATAATAAATCATGAATCATTGGACGTTTCGTCTCTAATTGTGCAGTAAGTGCTTTTGGCTGGTGTCCAGCGGTCCAGCGTTCGATGCCAACTTGCGGCCCAGAAATTAACTACCAACAACAATTTTTTTACAACTCAAATCCAGGCCAATACGTCTATGAAGTTTATATTTTACCATTATTTTTGATATGAGGAAGTATTGTTTATTTTTTATCAAAACCGCACTAAAAATATATTCATACTGTATCTACTAATATTAGTAATGCAAAACTGTCTGTTTATTTTTTGTATTTTTTATTCAAACCGCACTAAAAATATATTCATA